TTAATTATGTGCATGTATTAAATGTTTCGTGACAATGGACCCAAAATGCCTGATGTGGAAAGCCATCCCCAAGGGTGAACATTCAGGAAACTCTGTGGTGGTGAGAGCAAGCCTATCATTAAGGTTAGTATCAGGAGACAAGATTCTCGTGTTTGCTGATCACAGAAGCTTTGTAATTACACCTCAGTGACAATATAAAAATCAAAATATTTTTAATAGGTTGGTTATGAAAGCAACACCAAAATTTTTTTCTAAGAACAGAATTGAAATAGCTGATCACCTTGCACACACATACTGAGTACCCTCTAAGGACTGGATGAACACCTTCAGGAACTCCAGGAACTCCCGAGGGACAATGCCTTCAACAATCTGTCTCCACACCAATGGAGTGCTTGGCCCTAGAGACCAGAATTCTTGGGTACCTTCTATTCAGCAAGGTTACTACTCAGGATGGTCAGCTGTATTATGGATGGAAGGTATCTTCTGTCCTCTGCAGGTATCAAAACCTGGCTTAGAATGGACACCCTTTTCTCCAAGAGTGGAAGTAGACTTTATCTAGACTACCAGAGGTCTCAGGGAAGGCCAGAGCTTCTCAAAAAAAAGGAACCCTGGACCACAGCCTGTAAGTGGAGGGAGTGGTTGGTCTAAAGCATCTGATGGGCACTTCCTGGGCACTGACTAGGGAGCAGCTCACTCAGTGGGCAAGCTTGAACTGTGAAGCTCCAGCCAGACCTAAAGTAACTTAGAATAAACTATATACACACACAGACTATACAGATTATTTATACAGTATACACAATGTATACAGTAGATTCTCTAATCCTTTCTAGACTGGAAAACAGCTGGATTAGACATTCAAAGTTTCAGTTCTCAAACATAAACAGTATTTTGGCATCATTTAAAAGTCAGACCTCAAGGTGCATCCTTTTTTTATGGGTGTCGGTGTGTATGCAACACGTGCATGTGGAAGCCAGAGGTCAATGTGGTCTTCCTAATTGTCAATTGTCTTTTTTTTTTTAAAACATTTGTGTGTGGGCACATGTGAAGGTCAGAGGATAATTTTCGCAAGTCGATTCTTTCCATCACATGGGTTCCAGTGATTAAATTCCCGCTTCAGCCTTGGTGGCAATTACCTGTGCCTACTGAACCATCTCCTCAGCCCCCCCCCCTTTTTTTAAATGTGTATTTGTTTGCCACGTGTGCATGTGCTTGCAGAGGTCAGAAGAGGGCATCAGATCCCTTGGAGCTAGAGATACAGATGGCTGTGAGCTGCCCAGTGTGGGTGCTGGGAACCATACTTGGGTTCTCTGGAGTGCAGTACACACACTTAACTGACCCATTTCTCCAGCCACCTCATACACACCTCTTCTTTTAAAATTTTTATCTTATGGGGCTAGAGAGATGGCTCAGCAGTTAAGAACACTGACTGTTCTTGCAGAAGACCAGGGTTTGAATCCCAGCACCCACATGGCAACTAACTGTCCATAACTCCAGTTCCAGGGGAATACAACAGCCTCCACGGGCATTGCACAACACTTACTTACATGTGCATTTACATGCAGGCAATAATACACACATAAAAAAATAAAAAATTTTATGCGTTTTGCCTACATATTTGTTAGCATACCACATGCATATAATGCCCGTGGAGGCCAAAAGAGAGCATTGGATCCCCTGAAACTGGTGTTCCAGATGGTTAGCCACCATGTGGTGCTGGGAAGTGTGTGTGTGTTACACCCAGTTCCTCTGCAAGAACAGCCACTGCTCTTAACCACTGGGCCATCACTCCCAGCCCCACACCTCATTTTTTGAGACAAGGTTTCTCACTAAATCTGCAGCTTGGATCAGCTAGTCTGGATGGCCAGTCCCAAGGATCCTCCTGTCTGGACCTCTCTAACACTGGGGTTACAGGTCTGTCCCACATGTACCCAGGTTTTACATGGGTGCTGGAGATCCAAACTCAGATCAACATGCTTGTGTAGCAAGCACTTTACTGAGTCATCTCCCTAGTTCCCTCTACCCACATCCTTATGGGGATGGCAGACCACCCCCAACAAATCTCCCCCTACAGGAGGCAAACATCAGTTTACCCCCAAATGCAGGACCATCACCAGGACACAGCCAATGGGGCTCTCCCTCCCACAATTGGGGCTTTGATCCCAACCAGCCCTGTCCAAGGGGGCACCCAAAGACACTCTGTCCTCTCTCAGTACCACCAGCCATTTGGTTGCCTCTTGTAAGAGACTATAGCCCTGTGTCCCTGCTCACCTACAGCATTTGTCAAGCCAAGGGGACACATCCCTGTACTGGCTTCTAGAGTCTCCTAAAATGTTCAGCGACTTTTTAAGAGGAGCAGCTGTCCTCTCCCTAAGGCCCTCACCTTCCAACCAACAATGCTCCCTAAAAGGCTAAAGCTAAGCACCACAGATAGCAGCTATCTTAAAGGTGTTTGATTGCTTAACACCTCAGTGCAAGGCACCGGCAGTGAACTTGGGACCTGTGCCTGCGTTTGAACACTTGTCCATTTCTTGGAAACTTCAAAAACACTTGGCTGGAAGGATCATCAGTGGAGTTTCCTGCTGAGACTTCTGAAGGGAACATTTTCAGAAAGTGGCTCTGGCATCTACACCTGGGTAGCACCAATGCACAGTGACGAAGACCTCTTGGAGCAACCCCAGCTGGCAGGGTGGTCCGTGTCAACGTTTTATGACTTCCGTGAACTTAAGTCACAGCTTAAAACTCCCATTTCAGTTCCAACATTTCCAATCGGACAGGTACGGTATGAGGCCAGACACACAGACAGGTCTAAAAGGTGTTCTGGGCACAGCTGCTGTGATGGGTTTAATAAAGTTTAAGTTCATACTCCCCATCAGAAAAAGCCATGTTTGCAAAGCTCTTCTCTGGGCTCTGGATCTAAGGACATTGTCCTATGAGAGCTTACAGCCAATTCCAGAACCTCATGGAGGCCCAACGGTACAGAGGGAGTAGGAGACAGGCCAACATTGTCCTCTACGCCCAGTAAGACCAAGGATTCTGTTGGCATAGCAACTTATCAGTGAGGATAAGGTTTTAACAGATTATGTGTCCAAAAAAATAAAGCCTTGCACAGTAACAGTAGCCATGTGTAAGCCACTTTAATATAAAATGTGATCAACACTTGATTACAAGAGTCCAAGAAGGCATAGAAAACCATTAAGTTCCAATTTTATTACAAGTTTTAAAGTCTGGGACCAGCTTTTGTTTATGCTAATCAGCCCAGTTATTTTTTTTACATCCAAACTAAAAATTACCACAGAGGGACATGAACGCAACAAACAAGATTTGCAAACCTAAGTCACAAACTTAGAAAGCTAATGATCTCAGAAGCGACAGGCCAGCACCTAAGAGCACTGACACCTCAGAAGGAAATCCTGCCTCCTTCAAGGGCAGAGGAGAAATGTACAATTTTGCTTCAAGAAATTTGCATAGAAATAGAAAATGCTGGAACCTTGGCCACCAATGAGATTGCAAGGCCTCGGCATTCAACTCAATCCAGGAAGAACCAAGTCTTCACCTGGAGTCAAGGTTAAGTCTTGAACACTTTTTAAATGTTATTACTTTAATGTGTATGAGTGTATCGCCTGCACATATGTGAGAGCACCCATGTCATGCAATGCCGTGGAGGTCAGAACAGGGCTTTGGATTCCCCTGGAACTTAAGGACAATTCGTAGCCGCCATGTGGGTGCTGGGAATCGAACCCAGGTCCTCTGTAAGAGCAGTCAGTGCTCTTAACCGCTAAGCCATCTCTCCAGCCCCTAGTCTTGGACACTTTAATATCCAGGGGTGGACATCAGCTCCAAGCGAGCTCTTTAAACAGACTGCAGTGGTAAAGCACAGCAGCTGCTGAACTAAGCAGAGCGCCCTCAGGCTCAGGGGCTTCCAGTCACTCCTGACACCTTCCCAGCCCTCCAACCCCTTCCCCGGTTAGAGCTCCAGGCACTCCCCTGGGCAGAAATGTACCACTCATTTTCTGCCCCAGTACCTTAACACAACTACTATTTTTACAGTGTTGGGGACTGATCTAGGGCCTTGAGCATGTCAGAGAGCTCTATATAAGTGCTACAGCCCCAGACTCTGTTAAGACTTTTTACCAGTAGGTCCAATCTTTTTTTTTGGTCTTTTTTTCAAACGGTCTCCCTGTAGCCCCAGCTAGCCTGGAACTCACTGTGTAGACCAGGCTGGCCTTGAACTCTCAGAGATCCACCACCCTCTGCCTCCCGAGTGCTGGGACTACAGGCGTGTGCCACCACTCGCAGTCAAGTCATAATCTTAGTGACATGGTAGCAGCTATTTCCCGGGCAGCTCAAGTCCCCAGCAGGAAAAATGCTCCCATCCACTTCTGTCTGTAAACCTGAGGTTGGGCGCGAAGGGCTCCCCCTACTGGGGACATCTGGAGACTGACTTCTTCGGCTCCCTCTGCTGGAGGCCACACAACAGCTGCAAAGACTGGTACAAGCCATGATTATTTACAAGTAACTTTACAATTCTCCAAATCCTTCGAGGAACAGTAGAATGTGCAGTAATACTAAAGGACAGTTTTATTTCTACGGAAGAAAAAGATTAGTGACATAACTCTGATCATCAACAGCAACTTGCGGTTAAAAAAGACATACCCAGAAATCTGCCATTTTCCCAAGAACCCAAGGAATGACCTGTCTTGCTTTTAATGAGGAACACACACTGCATTCTTCTGTCTTCCTTTGGGAAAGACACCGGATACAGCTGTCACACTGTTTAAGGTGCAGGGACTCACTGGAGCTGATGCCACCACCCCCAAGCCACTGCTCAGTGCCGTGTGGACGGTTCCCTTAGAGTTAGTAGCCATTCTGTTGGAGCATTTCTACTGCAGAACTGGAATTTTCGAGCAAAAAAAGTGTCTAAATACAAAGGAGTGGCACCCAAGTGAAGCCCAGCTACTACGACCTCTGATTTCTGTCCAAACTGCAGAGATACAAGGATAAACCACAGGTTTTTGTTCCTAAATTTTATTCATGAATTCATAAAAAATATTCCAGATCAATGCGTTTTAATCCTCATCCTCCTCCTCCTCTTCATCCTGGTTAATCTGGAAGTAACGTAATTCATAGCTCTCTTTGCTGTTAGCTACTACGCGTAACCAATCACGTAGATTGTTCTTCTTCAAATATTTTTTGGTGAGATATTTCAAATACCTGCAGAGAAAGGACACTTGAGAACCACACTAGACCGCTTCCTTGCATTCTAAAACATTGTAACTTTAGAGCATATTCAAACCATCACAAGATGTTTCCCATCCTCCAAAGGCAAATGTCCCCAAACTAATGCTCTACAAGAATGTCTGTCACTGTCACTTAAGCAACAGTAAAACTGAGAGTATCAGCAGCGATTGCCCTGAACAGCAGCAAACTACTATAAATGATTTGCACTGGCCACTGGAGATCTCAGTGGTAAGCGGGCAGCTAACAGGGCCGTAGTAACACCTCTTTAGAGAGCTCTGCCCCTTCGAGCTCCCAGCACTTTCCACACTCTACTGCAGGCCTCAGTGAGGTGGCGGACAGGCTGTCAAGGCTGCTTACACAAGTTCTGTATCCAGTCTCTTTCCAGTTACTAAATGGCCATGACCCAACACATGGGACAGTGTGCCAGCCTGCCACTCCAGCAGACTGCTCAGGTGGTTTTTTGGAGATGGGTCCCACTGTTATCCACACTGACTTCAAACTCCTGGGCTCAAGCGATTGGCCTACCTGAGCCTGCAACTACAGGCTTATGATCCACCACGGCCTGCTTAAAGACATGATATCTGTGGGTTTGTTTGGGATGTCCCCCCTCCAGTGCTCAAACCCAGGGCCCCACACATGCTAGGTAAGCATTCTTCACAACTGAGCTACATGTTAGCCATATACAGATTATTTTTTTTAATCTAACCATTGCCTTAGCCTGGGTGGGAGCTAATCAGCCATAAGAAAGCCTACTCTTGGGCTGGAGAGAGAGCGCAGCAGTTAAGAACACTTGACTGTTCTTGCAGAAGACCCGGGTTCAAATCCCAGCACCCACATGGCAGCTAACAACTGTCCGTACTCCAGTCCTAGGGGATCTGATGGCCTCTTCTGTGCACGACACAGGTGCACTTACCTACATGCAGGCAATACACACATATACATAAAATAAAAAAAATAAATAAAAGCCTACTCTATATAAGCCTGACTTTGTGGCCGACATCTGAATACTTGAAGATGTGTGAGCTGAGACCCTCAGCAATCATGGCAGAGGACTCTATTGGGCAAATTACCGTCACCACACCTCAGTTTTTCCTAATAGAAAATGAGACTCCAGATGCCAGCTCTTTAGACTGCTAAACACCACATGGGCACACTACCACATGGGCACACTACCACACGGGCACACTATCACCCGGGCACACTATATTGGCCGACTAGCAAGGACCCAAACCACCAACCAGCTCACCATCCAAGGAATGATTTTTGGGAGCAGATACAAAAGCAACTGGCACTGACCTCAACCCTACCTACTTTTCCCCAGAGCAAAGTAATCGATTAGCCAGCTCTGGTGGCACATGCATTTAATCTCAGCACCTGGGAGGCTTAGGCAGGAGGATCACCAGTTTGAAGTCTGGGCTACATAAGGCAATGGAGTTGCACCAACTAGAAAGTATTCTTTCTACCATTTATTATTTTTGTCATATTGTATTCAATAAGGGGTTGAATTCAAAATTTCAGGTAGTTTCAAAACAGTATTAGGGGGAAACTGAGTTCAGAGATTAAGGGGCGACCCCTGAATGTTTCAGAAAAAAAACTACTGTCATCCAGAAAAATAAAGTCAGTCAGTATGGTGGCACATGCCTATAATAACCACTCTACCGGAAACTGAGGCAGGAAATCCCAGGGCAAGGCCTAGCTAGGCAACTTGGCAAGACCCTGTCTCAAGCTAATTCAAACTAAAATTAAACAGGGGAACCAGGATGCAGCACAGCAGCACTGAAGCTATGACTCAGTGCAAGAGCACTTGCCCAGCACGCACAAGCCCTCAGTTCAGCTGTCCGGACTCAAGAGAAAAGCCAGCCACCTGGACACGGCAGTGTAAGCGCAGTACTGGACGCTGAGGCAGAAGGATCACATGCTCAAGGCCAGCCTGGGCTCCACAGACAAGTGCCGTCTAAAAAACCCAAAAAGGAAAACTGAAAATAGCCAGGAGGGACCTACGCCTTTAATCCTAGCACAGAGGCAGGTGGATCTCTGAGATGAGGCCAGCCCAGTATACACGGGGAATTCCACGCCAGCTGGGGCTACAGGGAGACCCTGTCTCAAAGAAAGGCCAGGTGTGCTGGCACACTGCTTTAAGCCCAGCACAAAACAAAACTGTTATCTTAAAAATTAGGTCAAGCATGGTGGTGCACTTTTAATCCCAGGACTCGTCAGGAGGCAGAGGCTGATAGACTCTGTGAGTTCAAGACTAGCCTGGTATACATACATATACATAGTGAGTTCCAGGCTACCCAAGACTACACAGTGAGACCTTACCTTTAAAAAAAAAAAAAAAAAAAAAAAAAAAAAAAAGGCAGGATCTTTCCCATGGGCCCCATTGGCCAGAGCAGGGCAGGACAGTTGTCTCCAACACCCTGAAGACCCCAGTGTGCTATTTCTCACTCTATCACATCTCCTTCCCAGGAAACACAGCAACAGGCAGACTATGACACTTCACCTAAGGTTGGCATTGTCTATTCACTGAAGTCTTAAACTATAACCAGTTTGAGAAAAGCTCTGCCGTGCCAGACCCTGGGCTGGGAGGTATGCTCACATCCAGCTCTGCTACAGCAACGGACAGGATTTCACTGTCACCCTCAAGACAGTGGCTGCCACAGGATCAGTGCCTTCCTCTGGAAAGCAAAGAACCACAGTACTACTCAGCACCCCGAGAGCTCCAGATTCCCCAGTGCCACAGCAGCACTCACAGGGAATAAAAAGGGAATTAAAAATGAAAGCTCTAACCAGGTGTGGTGGCGCACACCTTTAGTCTCAGCTCTTGAGGCAGACGAATCTCTGAATTCAAGGTCAGCCTAGTCTACATAACAAGTTCCAGGTCAGCTGGGGATACAGGGAGACTCTATCCCCCACCCCACCCCCAAAAAACCAGAAAACAAAAAACAAGGGAGGGAGGGAAGGCGCTGTCACCCAAGGGGTGGAACACCTCCCAATTTGGGAGGTAAAGGCAGGAAGGTCAGGAGTTCAAGACCAGTTTCAACTACATAAGGAGTTTGAGGCCAGCCTGAGCTGTGTGAGAGCATGGCAAGGGGGTACTCTCCACCAGGATCTAAAGGCAGAGGAAGCCAAACATTCCTCAGGTGTAGACAAGGGACGTGGCACCTCTGCCACGTCCAGTACCGTATGCAGCCCGTGCACAGCAAATGCAGAAATGAGCACAGGCCCCTCGGCGCTCGTTTCAAGGAGCTGACACTCCTGCACAGCCCTCATACCTTTTGGAAAAAGGCACCTCAGAGGTGACGGTGATCTTGCTCTTGCTCCTTTCGATGGTGACGACCCCTCCGCCGAGGTTCCCAGCCTTCCCGTTCACTTTGATTCTCTCCTGGAGAAACTGCTCCTGCAGAAAGACGACAGTGATGGGAGCACAGGCTAGCCGGCCGGCAGCAGACTGAACCACAGTGACGACGGGGAGCACAGGCTAGCCAGCCGGCAGCAGACTGAACCACAGTGACGGGGAGCACACGGGCCGGCAGCAGACTGAACCACAGTGACGGGGAGCACACGGGCCGGCAGCAGACTGAACCACAGTGACGGGGAGCACACGGGCCGGCAGCAGACTGAACCACAGTGACGGGGAGCACAGGCTAGCCGGCCGGCAGCAGGCTGGTTCGTGTTTTCCCTCCCGGCACTAAACCACAGGTACTTGAAAACCTTCAATCTTTACATTCATTTCTTAGCAATCTTTCAGTCTTTCGGGCCCAAATCTTTAGTCTGAAGTCACAGCAGGGAGAGGGTGGCACTGCTAACGGGTATTTACATACAACATGAAGACATCCTGGCAGGAACATTCCTGACCGCTTACTCCAACATGCCTCTACCTGGAAGGCTTAGAGGGCAACACACTCAGGTTAAAAGGGTAAAAAGTCAGCTGTGGTGGTGTATACCTGTAACCCCAGCTCCTCAGGAGCCTAGGTAGGAGCCAGCCTGGGCAACGTAGTGAGATCCCATCCCAAAACAAATCAAAACAGGAAACAGGACTGGAGAAACAGCTCAGTGGTTAAGGGCACTGGCTACTCTTGCAGAATTCAGTTCCCAGCACCCACATGGCAGTTCACAACTGTCTGAACTCCAGTTCCAGAGGATTGAATGCCCTCTTCTGGCCTCTGCACAAAGCACATGGTGCTCACACCCAGAGACACACATGTATACACATAAAATCATAAAATAAATCTTTAAGAAAATCAGAACATGCCAGGCATGGTGGGGCGTACCTTTAATCCCAGCCCTCAGGAGTCAGAAGCAGGTGGATCTCTGGGAGATGAAGGCCACCCTGGTCTACACTGACTTCCAGGTAGGCTGGGACTAGAGAAACCCTGTCAAAAACAAACCTCCACCAAAAATAAAATCAAAACAAAGGGGTGTATGCCAAAGTAGACAGGAAACCAAAAGCCAGGCTTTCACAAGGAACATGCAGTCCCTTTCAGCTCCAAACTGCTACAATTCTAGGGCCTGAGGATGTGGCTCTGTGGTATGTAAGTGCTCCTTAGCAGATGTGAGGTCCTGGGCTCAATATCAGGATCCAACTAAAAATAAATAGCCAGGCACGGTGGCACAACTTTAATTTCAACACTTGGGAAGCAGACACAGGGGGATCTCTTGAGTTTGAGCGCTCCTGATCTACACAACAAGTTCCAGGTCAGGTCGGACTAGAGACTCTGTCTCAAAAAACCAAAAGTATAAAATAAATCCACAGCACTTTTAAAATGTGGGGCAGAGTGATTAGGTTAGAAATCTTGACTTTTCTATTCACAAGAGGCGAAGGAAAGTCATTTACACATAGTTCCAGGCCTGCTAGAGCTACAGGGAGACCCTGCCTCAAAAAGACCAAGCTACAGCCTTTGTTTACTGTAACCCCATCTAGTATTCCTGTTGAACTCACTAGAGGCAAACAACAAATATGCAAAAATATGGAGTACAAGTCCCGGATTCTCTGCAGTTACCCCGATGGGTTTCCTCAACAGCAACTCAAAAGGCTCTCAATCCAGAGAAAAAGGTGGGACTTACAAAGTTGGCAGCATCCATGATCCCGTCTTCTACAGGGTGGGTGCAGTCGAGGGTGAACTTCAAAACCTGCTTCTTTTTTTTACCCCCCTTCGCCACAAGCTTTTTCTAAGAAATAAAAAGTAACAGAGATGAAGCCTCAGGTGGTCAGAAAATAACAAAACCAAATCAGACACTTTTGTAATAAAAGTCCACACAAGTACAAGCCTATAGAGACTGGGGCCCTTCAAGAGTGAGGAGGGCCTGGTTCTATTTAAGGCAGGAGGCGCTTGTCCCCACTCAACCTCTCCAGTCTCTCCAACTTTACAAGCACGAAGTTCTGTTGGCCTAGAAACCACGATAAAGGGCATTTTCTTCTTCAAGAAACACTGCTTTACTGGAGCCACTTGTACATAGGCACACAAGTGTCTTGCATGTTCGCAACGTTAGTGTGAAATCAATCCTCATTAGCCTTTTTAGCACTTCTAATCTCCAGTCCCTCTACCTTCTCAGAACATAGAGAACTTCGCAGAACGCTAGTTGCTTCTCCACCACAGCTCGGCCAAGGGGTAAGGCTAGAACCTAAGATTTTATGGCAAAACTGTATAAACAATTTTCGCCTCTTCACTGGTTTAGTCTGTAAATTAACACCAGGCAGAGCACTATCTATGAGGTCCTAGCATCTCTATTAAGGAGTATCTAGTGTCTCTTAAAAAGGAACACCCATTAATTATCTCCTGATAGACCGTTGCAACATCTGTACCTTACCTGTATATCCACTTTAAAGTTTTTCAGTTCAAGAACACACCTCCCTTCACATTTAACAAAAGACCATCCACAACTTGTATTAACCTAGTCACCTTTCCAGTTAATACAAAAATCACTCTTTCAAGGCCAGGAGTGGTAGCCCATGCCTTTAATACCAGCATTCTGGAGGCAGAGAAAGGAGATCTCCTCGAGTTCCAGTCCAGCCTAGTCTACACTTCATAGCTATTCCCAGGCATTTCACAGTGAAACTGTCTTTTAAAAAAAAAAAAAAAAAAAAAAAAAAAGAGGAAAGGACCTGAGCAATACTTAAACCTAAACCTAAATTGTTTTTATTTATCATTAATATGATCTGAATCTCACCTTGTTCTAGTCAGATTAAAACACTGTTCAAGACTGGCCATGGTAGATGACATATGCCTGTAATCCTAGACCTCTAGAGACTGAGACAGGAGGATCTCAAGTTGGAGGCCAGCCTGGGCTACATAGTAAGACCCTGTCTTCAAAAGCCAAAACACACTTTTCAGTTGCAGGCATGACTTGTTTTATTCAAAAGACATGTTCCCCAAAATTTAAGTCATACACATCTGTATTTAAAGCTATTGCAGAGTTTTACTATAAAGTGTCCCATGCCTTTAATCTCAGCATTGGGAAGAGGAAAGCAGATCTCTGTGAGATGGGGGACAGCCTGGTCTACATAGTGAGTTTCTGGCCAGCTGGGGCTACAAAGAGACCTTGTCTTGGAAAAAGGAAAAAGAAAATTACTCTCTCAGTGTCTCCTAGCACCAACAAAGATTATTGCTTTTAAATTTAGCCCTGGAAAGAGGGCAGAGCAGGAAGCACCTACCACCCACAATGGGCCCAAAAGAGTCTAAACTCAAAGCACTCGATGATGCACTTTCTGAAAAGTCTTCCTCCGGGGCAGAAAGACTAAGACGACGGGAAGAGAAAAGATTCCCAACTGAAGCACATCGAAAACAACGTTCTCCAAGTAGGGCTGGCTCTCCAGGGAAAGTGGCATTGGGCACCACACAGCTCAGCCTCAGCCAGGAGGAAATCAGGGCCTTCCACTCAACACCAAAAAGAAGCTGTCAACAGCAGCACCCAGACAAAAGTACTGTCTTCAGAGGATGCTACAAAGATTCTCAAACTCAACCCTTTGCCTCTGAAACCTGGCCACTCTACGGAGGGCCATTTCCACCCCCACCAGCCACTGGGTGCTCTGAGGAGCGGCTGCCCAAGGTGGCAGGTCACATCCGTCTTCCTTGCCCAGGTAACCTGGCCCAGGCCGCAGCCTCCACTCTAGGCTCGGCCTACAGCCTCGGCCTGCAGCTTCCACGTTCAGGTTCAGGTTCAGCCTCCAAGCTCGAGGCCCAAGTTCAGCCTCAGCCTCCAAGCTCCAGGCTAAGGCTCAGCGTCCTCCAAGTTCAGCCTCCTCCAGGCCCAGGCTCAGCCTCCAAGCTCCAGCCTCCAGGCCCAGCACTCAGCCTCCAAGTTCCAGGCTCCAGTTCAGCCTCGACCTCCAAGCTCCAGCCTCCAAGCCTAGGCCCAGCGCTCAGCCTCCATGCTCCAGGCTCAGCCTCAGCCTCCAACCTCCAGGTTCCAGACTCCAGGGTCAGCCTCCAAGCTCCAGGCTCCAGGCAGAGGCCCAGGCCCAGGCCCAGGGTTCAGCCCCCAGCCCAGCCTCCGGCTGTCCCGAGCAGGATGCGCGGCCTCGCGAGCTCCCGGCCTCCCGCACCGCCCCAGGCCGCGGCCTCCTCCGCCCACAATGTGCTGGGTCCCGCCGCCGCCCCGGGCACCCCCGACCCTCCCTCTAGGCCACCCCGGCCGGACGCTGCAGAACGCCGTCCCCCGCGAGCCCGGCCCGAGCCAGCCCGCCAGGCCCACGTGCCGCTCGCGGAGCCGAGGCCTCACGCGGAGCCATACTAACCACGGGCGCCATGGCGGCAGCGGAGGCAGAAAGGGAAGGGAGCGCACTGCGCAGGCGCCAAGAGCTCGCAGCGCGCAGGGCACGCAGGGGCCAGGCAGCTCCAATCGCTCAGCCCCGCCCCTCGACCTCCGCTTCCCTCCCGCTGACGTGCGATCGGGCAGCGATTGGTTTCCCTGGTGTAGAGTCCATCCTCTCCCCGGCCGGGAAGACAAGGAAGAGGGAGGATGCGGGCGGACTGTCCCATTGCAACGGCCGGAGGGAGGCTGGGCGAGCCCAAGGAAGCCGGGGGTCTGCTCTATTTTGGAAAGTCTCGGAAATCTAAGCCGGACATTCCCCAAACCGGAGTTTAACCAGCTAGTGGGAAGGAAACCGAACCCACGAACGGGGGGGGCAGTTGTTGAAATCCCAGCCCTGGGGACGCCGAGGCAGGAGAATGCGGCAGGGTCGGAACAACTTTTAAGTCTCACTCCCTGAGCCAACCATGCAGAGTGAAATCCTTTTTTCAAAATCTAAGGGGCTGGAGTGATGGCTCAGCGATTAAGAACACTGGCTGCTCCTGCAGAGGACCCAGGTTCAGTTCCCAGCACCCACATGGTGGTTAACAGCCATCTGTAACTTCAGTTCCAGGGGATTCATGACCTCTTCTGACATCCGTGGGCATTGCACGACACCCTTGCCGTTACATACATGAAGGCAATACACTCATACACAAAAAATAAATTTAAAAAGTAGCTGAGTGTGGTGGCGCATGCCTTTGATCCTAGCACTTGGGAGGCAGAGGTAGGCAGACTATGTGAGTTTGAGGACGTAGTGAGTTCTCTGCCAGCTGGGACTGCATAGAAACCTTTCCCAAACAAGTTACAGCTTTGAAACTTACCCTTTTCTGGGTGTATCTCCCAAGTCTAGCCTTTTCTTCGGCCGCCAGGTACTCACTACGGTTTGGGCCCTCTACACTCAGGTTGGACCTGCCACTCTTTGATGATCACACCCAGCCTTCTGCTGCCCAAGTCCTTAAAATCTCTGTTCTTTTCCACCATCAGGGATGTGGTTCAAATCCAGGCTCTAATTCAGCAGCTCTCTGAGAGCCAGCGCTGTGGAGTAGCAAGGTTTTTCCTTGACTTGTCTCCTGACCCTTCACTTACCCTGACCCCTTGTGTTCTTAGGGAATTATCCTCCAGAACCCTGAACTAGGATCATGCTCATGCACACCTCCCCTGTTCCTTGGCTGCCATGTTCTCATAGCATGTACATAGCAAAATCCAAGCCTCTCCTGAGAATCTTTGGAGGAAACACACATGCTGAATGGTCTGGGATTAAAGTCAGTGTCTGATGCCAGTTAAGCAGACTTCAAAGCCACCTGCTATTTTGTTCTGTTCTGTTCTGGTGGTGGAGACAGCCTCTCTCAACTCTATAGCCCAGGCTGATCTGGAGCTCCCTATGTAGCCCAAGCTGACATAGACTTCATGGTAATCTTCCTGCCTCTGCCTCGGTCACGCGTTCTGAGCCATACAGGTATGAGCCAGCACACTAACTGCCCAATCTGCTTTTCTTGAGTCGCAAGGCTGACGCTGGGCTCTGCAAACATGTCTCCTTTGACGGTTGCTCCCAGCTGAGTCCTGTACGTGAGGGATTTTGCTACCTGTTTGTCTGTTGATGTCCTCTGCTCTTGCTTCGTCATTCCTGAAACAGCAATGGAGTCTAGTTTATAGTTATTTTCAATACTTGAAGAAACAGCTCAAATTTTCCCTTCAAATGCCCCCACTAAGGGAGTCTGAGTCTTAGTTCAGCATGTGGAACCTCCCTGTGACATGACAGAAGGCTTTTATTCTAGGATAGCTATGAATGTGGCCCCAACCTTTGTAGACCGCAACTCAAGTAACAATGTTAAAAGGTGGGGCACCCCAGGCTACAATGTAATACTGTCTAGGAGCGGCAGGATTACCTGTAATTACTGTACCTTGTTTTGTCTTTGTTTTTGTTTTTTTTGTCTTTTCGAGACAGGGTCTCCTTGTAGCCCCAGCTGTCCTGGAACTCACTATGTAGACCACGCTGGCCTTAAACTCACAGAGATCTGCCTGCCTCTGCTTCCCGAGTGCTGGGATTAAAGGCGTGCGCCACCTAGCGGGTTCTTTTGTTTTAGTTTGTCCAGACATGGCCTTACTATGTAGCCCTGGCTGGCCTGGAACTCACTGTGTAGACCAGAGATCTGCCTGCCTCTGTCTCCAAGTGCTCGGGGTAAAAGTGTGCACCACCATGCCCAGCCTAGTTTTTAAGATTTCTTTTAGAAGATTAGTTTTATTATTTTTGTTTTGAGACAGGGTCTCATTATGTTGCACTGGCTGCTCTGGAACTCCCTGTGTAGACCAGGCTGGCCTCAAACTCATAGAGATCTGCCTGCCTCTGCCTCCCAAGTGCTGAGATGGAAGGTGTGTGGCACCACACCTGACTATTTTTATTATTCTTAATTTTGTTTATGGGGGAAGGGACCTGTGCATGTGAGTGCAGGTGCCCTTTAGAAACCACAGGCATTGAATCCTCCTGGAGCCAGAGTTACAGGCAGCTGCGAGCCACCTGACAGGGATACTGAGAACTGATCTGTGGTCCTCTGCAGGAGCAGTATCACTCAACCTCTGAGCCATCTCTCCAGCCCCTTATATTTGTTTTGAAACAGAGTCTCACCCAATAGGCCTGGCTGGCCTGGAATTTGCTATGTGTTGTTCAGGGACCCTGCCGTGAAGGTCACAGTCCACGGTGTCCCGATAGCTCTACAAGCTCGCTCAAAATGGAGGACTCCCTTTCTCAGCAGGGGCTTCCTACTCTCTGCCTGACCTTATTTGGAAAGTGTCTCCAAACTCGGATGCCTGACCCTATTTGGAACATGACCTTTGACATAGTTCCCTGCAAATGCTGCCCCTGGTTTTCCCGTATGATAATTAGGCATTGCACTGCAGCCATTCAATCCCACCTCCCCTTTCTACATGATGGGTCCTCCTGCCACATGTAAATAAAGCGTACTATGAACACCTATCAGGTGAAGCTTTGGCTGCCGTCCTCACCCTGTATCTTCCCTCCAACCCCCTGAATAAACGAGCTGTCTCACTGAAGCTGACCCCGTTTGTCGCTTCTGCTCCCTTTGTTCTCGTGGATCGGTGGCCAACAACCCACAAGGGAAGAGAGACCCACAGCTGGTGCCCAATGCGGGGCTCCTGGAACTCACAGAGTTTGTGGGTACCCCCTCCATGAGGGTGGCCACATCTTTGCCTTGGCCTCCCGCTCTGAGGATCCGCACTGGCCTTTCCCCTTTTACTTTCGGTCTGTGCCTTTGCAAGGGACCATTCAAGAAGAAAGGGCAGTTGAAGTTTTCTGATCAGGGCCACTCCCTGATGTTAGCTGAAGGCTCCTAGTCCTCTGAATGGATTCCCAACTGCCCAGGTGTCAGCAAAGACCTCCTATCTTTATGTCTCTCTACTGCAAAACCCGGTTACACAACGACCAGTTAAAAGCTTCTAGAGCAGTTGCTGGTTCTCTGAAATTTGTGGTCAGGCTTGTGCTCTGGATTAGTTAGGAATGCCCCATGACTTCTGGGTCTCAGGAACATTCCACTAGGACTTGGTGTTTCACCCCCCTTTCCTTTTCTATCTTGGACAACACCCCTAGAAACAAGGGATCCCCAAAGTTCTAATAACTGTTTGATGATCATGCAGGGATTTTTCACACACACTGAATTCAGCTCATAAGAGAGCAGATAAACTTCCTTATCCATTTTGTTATCTTGCTTCGGGGCATTAAGGTTTAGGATAAAGCTGCAGGGTGGCTGCAGAGCATTTAAAGAATTTAAGGCAACTTGCCTCATAGACACAGAAAAAAGGATTTTAAAAGCCACCGTCTGGACTGAGGGCAGCTCGTCTCTTTTCCTCTCTTTGCTTTACTTTCGGTTTGTGCCTTCACGAGGGACTGGATACAGTTTACAGGCAACTGAAGCCTCTTGGTCGGGGCAACTCCCCAACACTGTCTGAAGGCCCCGTGCCCTCTTTCCGGACCCTGACAGCCCGACTGGGTGCAGGCAATAACCTTTACATCTCTCATAAAAAATCCAGTAATGCAGCAACCAGTTAAAAGTCTCAAAGACAGTTGCCGGTCTCTAAAATCTGTGGGCAGGCTTGTGTTCATTGGGACGTTTCAATCCCCCAGTGGCAAGCTGCCTCAGGAACACTGACTGCCACTGACAATACTTCCTTACTTTCCTATAATGGGAAATTCAACATCACACCAGAGGGACCTCCAAATTCACTCCCTTAGAGATCTACTTTAATCAAGAGGACTTAAGATTTCCCAAAAAGAAGGCTTGGAATTTTGGGATGAGGAGCTTCAATTCACACCCTAGGTCCTGTCAGCAGATATCTCTGACCGAATGTCTGGACCCATATTGCCTACCCAGCTTGTAAAAAAAGAAATCCAGGAAGGGCACCATTTACCCCTTTCCTTCCTTCCCGTCATAGCTGCCATCCGACAATGCTTAGGAGACCCACCCAAGCCTGAGGAGGACCCACTAGACAAAAAACGAGCACAGGAAAATAAAGGGGATGGTTCAAATGAAGAAGAAGACCCTGAAGATTGCCCAGTAGCAGATTTAGCCACCCTAGAAAAGACAATTGACCTAGTCAGACAAAAACTACCCATCGACAAAAAAAAAAAAAAAAAAAAAAAATCCCCCCCTTCTCCCCCTTCCCCCCTACAAATCCTCATGGGCTGAGAAAGACAAAGACCCAGATGTCAAGACCCAGGTTTCAAAAACCACCAAAAATTCCCAGATAAATCCTCCTCCCCCTTCACCCTCAGCACCACCATCTATGGCGCCAGCACCACCGTCTACAGTCCGCCCCCCCCCACAGCCACTGAACAGCTCTGTAATCTCAGGGATAATGGGAGCTGTTGCCCCCAATATCCTCAACCACAATGGCCTTGGGACCCAAAAACCCCACCCGTAGGGACCTTCTCCATTAACCTACAAGTAACAAGACAACGTCCATTGGCTTGGTATCCCCTCCCAGCAACAGATTTAAAAGAACTATGCCAAACCATCCATGAGGATGGGATCCATACTCCATGGACCAAATCTATATTACAAACTTTCAATAGCAACCTCCTAACTCCCCCAGGACTGGAGAGATATCTGTCG